GCTCATTTTGGCTGCACCACACCGGAAAGATAACTTGTATACATTTGTTATCAGGTTGCGTTGTGTTTGCCACCCTGATAGCTAATGCATACAAGCTATCTCTCCGGTCAGGTGCAACCAAACTGAGGTTGTATCCTGCACGGAAGCCGTGTGTGTGAGAGAGAGAGAGAGAGAGCATCAACCCCGTGCACAAGGCACCCGGAGTCCCCCTGATAACGCATGTATACAAGCTGTCATTGACGTCGGCTTTGGCCAAAATAAGGGTGCGCTGTGTCCAGGGGAGAATGGGAGTGTCGAGGGGGAAGTGGAGGGAAGGAGAGCATGGGCGTGAGAGAGAGGGAGAGGGAGATTCGAGCGGCCCCCGTACACAGCGCACCCTAAACCCCCCTATAACGAATGTATACAAGCTATCATTCCAGTTGGATTCGACCAAAATGAGGGTGCGTTGTGTATGGGGGAAGATCGGAGTGCGGGGGGGGGAGAAGCAGCTCGCATCGCGCGCGCGCGCGCGAGAGAGAGAGAGAGAGAGAGCCCTTTTTTTTCTTTTTTTTTCTCAAAAAATACGCCCCCACTTGCTAGTGAGAGAGATCCCATGTTTTTTCCCCTGAAAACCGATTTTCGCAAAATCAATTTCTCCCAACACAATGCGCGCTTGCGAGAGAGAGAGATCCCGTGTTTTCTCCCCGAGAACCTAGGCTACCAGTTGTCCGATGGCAGGACGTCCTGGGCGGACAGTCAGGGGGGTCCCGGACGTCCCGGCCCGGACAACTCCATTTTTAGCAATTAAAAACACGAAAAAAAAATTTAAAAAAAGGGTTTTATTTTATTTTATTTTTTATTTTAAACTTGGCAGCGAATTTGGATATGATTCCAAGGCAAAAATTGTTCAGTTTAGTTTTCTGTATAACATACTTTTTTTTCAGATTTTTCTGAGGACTTTCTTTTTTTTTTTTTTTTTTTTTTTCGGGCTCGGACGGACTGGCCGGGGAGGACGTCCGCCCAGTTGTCCGATTGGACAACCCCGGACGGTCAGGGGGGTCCCGGACGTCCGATCAGGTAACCTAGCCGAAAACTGATTTTGGCAAATTCGATTTCTCCCAACACAACACCCCCTCATTTTTGCTGAATCTGACGGAAAATATGGCTTGTATACATCGTTATCCGCTTACGTTGTTTTTCTCTCTCTCTCTCTCTCTCTCTCTCTCTCTCTCTCTCTCTCTCTCTCTCTCTCCACGGCTGCAATACCCAATCTCCCCGCACTATGCACCCTCATTTTGGCTTCACCAGACTGGAAAGATAGCTTGTATACATTCCTTATTAGGGTGGCAAACACAACACACACCTGATAACAAATTTATACAAGCTCTCTCTCTCTCTCTCTCTCTCTCTCTCTCTCTCTCTCAACGTGCGAATACATATACTATCTAGGCTACCAGAGTGGCCCGGGGTCACTTGCCAGGCCGGGCCAAAAAAATAAAAAATAAATAAAAATAAAACAAGTATTTTTAAATTTTATTTTTTATTTTAAATTTGGTGAAGAATTCCGATGTAACCCTGAGGCAAAAGTTGTTCAGGTTATTTTTCTGCATAACATAGTTTTTTTTTGGATTTTTTGGATTTTGTTTTTTTTTTTCTTTTGCTGGGACCTTCCTCGGTCCTTGCACGGGCTGGCCACCCGGGACCCGGGCGGCCCGGTTGGTAGCCTTGTACACTATGCATTAAAAAAAAAAAAAAAACACAAAAGAACTTTCAATCTCCCCCCCTCCTCTAGATACTAAACTTCAGGGCCCATTGCCCCATGTTTTTTTTTTTTTTTAGCCCCATAAATCCCGCGAACAATTCATTCGCAGGTAGAGTACAAACTAATACAGCGGCGGTTTTGTACTCGCATGCAAACACATTGTGCGTGAGTACAGAAGAGAAGAAAATTTTGTGCTGGCGACACACCTAGCTGTAGAGGCCTTCATGCACGTAGGTCATTCGATGTGTTAATCCACACCTAACAAGATGGAATTTTCAATACAAGAAAGAAAAAGCTGTCATTGATGCAAAATTTCCTAGGAGTCACAAGCCTTCGACGACCAGAAGCGCCCCACTCACAAATTTTTCCCAGCCAACTACTGCATCACAAAAACAAATCACAGGGTGACAGGCAGTACTTGGCTGGGAAAAATTTGTGACAATATGGCTGGAAAATGGACCAGTGGTTTAAACCACCTTGTGCGCGTCACAAAAACTCTCTCTCTCTCTCTCTCTCTCTCACACACACACACACACACACACACACACACACACACACACACACCAAAAAGAAGAAAACAGGGCTGTGCTATTACGGACGCACAAGGTGCAGTGATGCACACCCCAGCGCACCACACGTTGTGCACGCGCATCACACATCCGGCGCACAGCGCTCCGCACACCGCACCGCACCGCACCGCACCGCACAAGTGCGCCGCAAAGATGCGTTTGACACCTTCACAGCATTCACGTCAAAAAGAAGTTCCTGGCATTCAAACCGCAACGCCCTTCTCAAACAAGATACATTCTGGCCCCAACTAACAGTGCCCCAGCAACAACCCAACCGTACACCTCACAAGAAAGACAATTGCAGACAACGGCTTGAACACTGCATAACCACACAGCACACTGCTACTGCAATGTTATCCCATTTGCCAAATCCGAACGGTGGGTTCATGCCTTTTGGACTTACAATTGTGCACGCATCATGATATACATACTGGCACTGGAAATCACATTGACCGTGGACACATATGTCTTGTAGGTGTGAAGCCCACACACACACACACACACACACACACACACACACACACAGAGAGAGAGAGAGAGAGAGAGAGAGAGAGAGAGAGAGAGAGAGAGAGAGGGAGTACAGGGGGAATTAGTGTCCCACGCAACTCTCCAACTCTATGCTGTTTCAAATATCCGCTCGTGGATTTTTACGGCTTCGCCTCTGAAATAACATCTCAATATCTGTGAAATAACATCCTCAATATCTGTGAAATAACATCCTCAAGATATCTGGTGTAACATCTGGTGTATCTATCCCCTCAATAGATCCAATAGCCGCCTTCTTCACATCCGAAGCCTTCTTCATGAGATCAATTCACAAAAACACATCTAACTCCCATAACTCCCAGAAGCTCTCCTTTGCTTCACCCAAAGATATTATATCTCCTTTGCTTCACCCAAAGATATTATATCTCCTTTGCTTCACCCACTTCCACCCACTTCCATTGTAGCTTATCTACCACCAGCTGTGATACAACCATCCCCCCTTTTCCACATGAGCTGCCCGTTCGTAATCTCAATATGCTTGGAAGCACTGACTGGCACATACACTGCCCCCCCCAAATCACTTTCACAAACGATTCAACCCCCCCAAATTCCATGCCTGTCATACCCTGCCATTCCCATAATCACCCACTTTAGACCACCTCTCCCTCACTCACCAGTCATTATATGTGCCACTACCACCATTCCCATCGCCACCACCCCTCCATTCCTTACAGTCATACATCTGCAGACCTTGGCCATCTCCCCCTTCACCGCGTTCACGCATCTTTCTCATCTTCCTCACCGCCGAGTGGCCCACTTCTTAAAATTTACGACCATATCTCGCTTCCATCCATGAAGCCTGCAAAGCACCGAAACGATGAGACATCAGAAGAACCGGGCACACACACATCCGTTGTCAGGAACCGCCATATACCGGGGACCGACCATATCTCGCGTCCCCAAAGCCCGCCAGCCTGAAACAGGCCGCCGGCAGGCCCAGCTGGATGTAAGGCACACCAGGCCCCTTTCACGGCTAAGTGTAGCCATTTACAGTGGAACAAGTTACAACCTGTTAAAACAAAAATAATAATAATAATAATAATAATAATAATAATAATAAATTACAACCTGCAGTCCTTTGGGGAGGAAAAACCCAAGCAGCGAAAGGATGAGAAGTCGGAAGCAGCAGTGGCGAAATGTCAAAGGCAAGCATGGGAAGGCAGCTGTGCAGCTCCAACCTGCCGCACGGAATTATACACCTCGACGACCTCGTACAGAAGATTAAAGATCGAGGGCCAATACGTTGTGCTGAACAGCAATACACGCACTTACACACAAACAACTTTTGGTTGAGTGTGCCCACTTCCGAATCCCTTATCACATTCAAGACTTGGAAGAACACACACACACACACACACACACACACACACACACACACACACACACACACACACACACACACACACACAGAGAGAGAGAGAGAAAAAAAAAAAAAAAAAAAAAAAAAAAAAAAAAAAAGTTCAAACCCCATTCAAAGCGCGTCCAAAATATGACTAGATTCAAACATAAGGCCGGATTCTGCTCAGGCCAAAAGCATGAATTGAATTGGGCCGGAGGTCGATCCCGTAACCCCTGAGGACAATTTCAGAGATGCTAACAAAGAGGGACGGCGGGGGAATACATCTCTCTGCAGACGCATAACTCAGACCGGAACACGGCAGCGATTCCACGATGATTGCATTCCACCCTCCATCATCCTCCCAGGTCCACAGAAAAAAGCCCATGCAGAAACACCAACATGCAGTAGCGCCAACTCGAGAGGGGACCCGCAAGTCAAGATGAGAGGGACATTCCCAGTGGAGAATTACACGTACCTTGTCCCATCTCGTGCCACGCGAGCGACACATGCATTTGCAACGCTATCAAAAAAAACCACGCAAGTCCGAAACTCCTCTTCCGTCAGTGCCTTCGTCCCTAGTTTAAGATCCTGCACCCGGCCAGCAGGATTAAGCGTGTCAATGAGATGTCAAACTCTCAAGCGATCCAACGACTGTGTATTGATTAGCAGATCGCATATATTCATCGCACAGCATAGACTCTATTAGACTGTCACATAGCACTGAAGACAGCATTCCTTAGTGAACGTACAGTTGGACCACACGAGCAGTGAAGGTACGGGGTTGGAGCACACGAGCAGTGAAGGTACAGGGATAGAACACACGAGCCGTTAGGAGCAAAGAGTGTGTGAATCCCTTCGCGGGATATAGAAAAGAGCGATTAAAACCTCCAATGATCTTATCTAACGTTGTGTGAATCCCTTTAAACAACGACATCACCAACAACGTCAACCATTCTTTTCTGTGCTGCACTGTTTACAGCTTGACATGCAGAAACACCAAAAAAATAGCCCCTCCCCCCCCCCCCCCCCCCCCCCCCACTATTTGCCGCAAATAGGATTGCTGCCTCAGTGCAAAAAAAAGCTCGCACACATCCTTCAAGATTACCTGGTTTGGTAGGTAATAGAACTTCAAAGCGAGATCTTATAGATAAATATCATTAAAATATGGATATTGTGTATATTTATTCGAAAGATCTTTCAATTACTTCTCCTTCTCAATCTTTAGAGGGGGTAGTCCCTAACATTACTGTTTTCATCAGAACTAAAACTTCCAATATTATGTCTACTAATAAATTAGTAATAATCATATCCCTTCCAAGGATAATCATTAATCACCAATATTATTGTTTTCATCAGAACTTGACAAACTGAAATATACATTTACCATACGGCAACAGGTGAGGTACCTCCCCTACTATTATTATTATTTTTTTAATAAAGCAGTACCTCACCTGCTCTCAAATTTACAGTCGCAAGGATACAAAAGTTGGAACGTTCGACATCATTAAGTAAACTCCTAGGAATCCATGTCCAATCCCTTGCAAGGATAATCATTAATCACCAATATTTATTTTTTTACAAAACGGCCCTGCTCTTGCAAGGATAATCACCAATATCGATCATAGTGTACCTTTCTTCCTGCAAACATTTCCTTGCCAAGCGAGTGCACCATGCGCCATGCGCAAATTACTAAATTATTAAAATTAGTGATGCACCTTTTTTTTTTTTTTGTGTGTATGTGTATACGGGGAGAGAGAGAGAGAGAGAGAGAGAGAGAGAGAGAGAGAGAGAGAGAGAGANGAGAGAGAGAGAGAGAGAGAGAGAGAGAGAGAGAGAGAGAGAGAGAGAGGGAGGGAGGGAGGGAGGGAGGGATCCCCTTAACACAGCTCAGACGGCCAATGCAGGCAATCTGAAGGGTCCTCGCGTTACGGTAGCGCAGACCCTCCACCAAAATTGAGGCAGGCAGTGAATATGAAGTAGAGCACGAGCTGGCCGAATTTATACTCAGGATTCGAATTCAGGTCTGTGTTTCAGCAGTTATGGGTTTCTCACATAGCTAGGCCCTGTCGGTCTCTGCACGTGATTCTCAGGGCTTGGATACACTACTCACGAGATGTGCAAAATTAGAATGAACCTTCTGCAGAATGTGGAATAATACGCCGCCATAAGTTTGGCCTTTTGAGCATGTGGTGAGTAGAGGCCCTTAGGGCCACTGCACGTATTCATAAGGAAAGAAAAACGAGAAAAGAAAAATAGTGACACTTCGGCTTCACCAGCGGAGATATTTGGCTTCGGCCTTCTGGCTGGTTGTGGAAGTGGTGATTGGTCTTCCCAGCCCGCGCTAGGTGCTAGGAGCTTGGGTGCTGCTCCCCGCACAGAGCAGAGATTGGTAGGGTTAGACCCATAACCCTGCTGCTGTTCAGGATTGAGCAGGGTATTTAAGGCGGTTTGCTCCTGGTGATTCTAGCTTAGTTGGTTATTCGCTGCTTGTGATTCCAGGTCTTTCCATAAGATTAAGCGTAGAACGTAGACATGGGTAGTTAGTGCGAGACAAATTGAGAGAAGATAATAGGGTACGAAAAAATCCAACTGTCCCCCATATGAGGAGAAGGCAGCTGTATTTAAAAAAAAAAAAAAAAAAAAAAAAAAAGTGACCCATAACCGAGATGCACAGACCGGAATTCAAATCCAGACTATATATTCTCTGCACACGCTTACAAAGTGGAAGTTTGAAGTGTACCTCTGCTGCACGTGGGATCCTACCGTCCTAGCTTATTCGCTGTTAAGGGCCCTTCGGAAAAGAGGCTGGACACAATTAGGACATGAATATTCACCACATGCATAGACATGGTCCCCAGCTTTGAGGGTATGGCGTGGCCCCGACTTTTCTCCCTCTTGCTTTCTGATTTTGAGAAGCGAGGGGAATGTTTGGTCACCCCACCCTGTCCTTTCTTTTTTTTCTTTTTTTCTTTTTTTGCGACTCGCCGCATCACGTGCGCGCGCGTGCAAGTGTGTGCACTCTGCGCCGCATGTGCCGCATCCCCGCGCAAGGGATGCCCAGCAAGTATGTTATTAACGCATTAGCATTCCCAGTGCGGGCAGAAAGCCCACACATATACCGCAAGAGGTCCAATAATCATCATATGGGCTACATAAATGTTCTTTATCCGATTTAGAAGTTTTCAAAAACAGAAAACGACGAAGAAGAAGAAGAAGCACAACAATCAGTTGAACAGTTGCAAGGAATTCAGTATTCAAAACGAGGG